GTGTATGACCGTTCATTGCTGATGCAAACCACAACTGCAGTGCAAATAGCTTTCATTTCTGCAGCCAAGGCAGAGTTCATGTGACTTGCACCATGTGTAACTTGCCCTTTATTCAGTGTAATTTGAAATAGATGAAGTACAGTGATAGTACTAAAAGGCTTATACGCATGACCTACGAAATCGTGTAATATATGCCTTTTAAATGATATTTACGAGATAAAAGCCTTATTTGGTGCCTTTTTCTTTGTTCTTTTGAAACAGAGGTTGGAAACAGCTATTCATTGCTATTTGAAACAGACATCCACGTGTTTTCTTATGCCTATAGGCTGTACCATGTTGCTAGAGGAACAGGAAATACAAGCTAGTCTGATAAGTGTCTTCATTTAGTAGTCAGTTGGAGGATGAGCTTCCACTGCAGCACTAATACAGGCTACATAAATATGAGACGTTAAAGATCACACATTTGGAGTATAAAAAAAAAACAAACCACACACACACGCATCATTTGCCTTTATTATATATTTCTCGTGCACTTGAGCAGATTATGTTATCATAACACAAATTCAGAGAACACCATTCTCTTCCCTTCTGTATGTCACATGTGAAACTGAAAAGACATGTGGCCCCACATGCGGACAGGGCAGCTTCTCTGACTCTAAACAAAATAGTTTATGAAACCGAGAGAAACTGATCACATATATACTTTTGTGTAATGATAGCTGAACCGAGTAAAAACAGAAAAATTGTCTGTCTGTTACTGGAAAATTGTTATGAAGCCTTCATGATGCAAATAAGATAGAAACAGAACCTATTTGATACAAGTAAGATTTCTGATTATTAAACAACTTTTAAGTAAACCATTAGCTTGCATATGAATTACTAGAGCAGCACAGATGATGCAGTACCTAAACATTTTACTTTCATTATTATTAATTTAACACTTTAACAGCTCAAAACCTTTACAGGCAATGTGTTTTATGCCCGTTACCTTGGAGTTCTCAACTGGTTTAGCAGAGCACCCCGTGGAGTTGGCACATCAGCTTATGGGGTGATCTTAACTTGTAGACAAGTGACACCTCACTTGGGGTATTTGACAAACTGACACTCACTGATACAGAGTGTCCAACTCAGCTTGTCAAATACACTAAGTGGGGGGCCTGATCTCATGCAGCACCAAAGACTCTGGCTCTGTAGATTCAATGAACAAAGCATCAGGACCACTTTAAAAAACATGATCAAAAACCTAACAAAGCACACCAAGTATGTATTAATCTGATTGCATAAAGAGGTTTCCTTGGTATTGTTTCACAAACTTCATGCAAATGCGTGTGTTACCTGTTGCAGACGAGAGTCCAAGAGCAGCACTCTTCTTTCCTCTCCTTCACAATGATGGCACTGTGCACAAGACAGCTCGTTTGACCAAAGCACTTTCAGCGCGTCAAAGAGGAAGTCAAAACAAGGAAGATAACTGCAAAGCTAGCTCTCAGGAAATGTGGGGAAATAAAGTGTCAACATGTCATGTTGTGAAATGCTGTTGACGGCTTAAATGGCTCACAACTTATGGTTTCCTGAGCCATATTCAACAGTTTTGTTCAGCTTTTGTTGCACTTATGGTTTCTTGATGCCTGCATCAGTAAGGCTCCTACATGAGCATGCACAGAGGCTCAGAGCATTACAAATCTAGGAAGTAGCGACCTCTCATGTGAGACCTAATTAATAACACTTTCACACCAGTTTGTGCAAAGTTTAGATACTGTTTCATGGTTTTATTTCAGAAAAGAGTTGCACAATTAGACCACGAGGACATCATCATTTATTTTACTTTGTTTTAAATCACACTTCACTGTCATCACTTTAATCAAAAACATCATCTCTCACATGAGTTCTCTACACTGGCCCTCATCTTCCCCTTCCAGGAAAAGTGTTAAAGCCACACGGTTGATTGAGGGCTTATTCATTTGTCTGTTTCCACCAGTACTAATGCTGCCAGACAGCTAAAACAATACTTTTTATTGTCATACTGTTTCACATTACCGCCAAATTTTCACGACTAGAATGTGCCACGTACTTGTGCTGTGTAACATCCTCATGTTACTCTGGACCAATGACCATGAATCAGTTGCTAGACTTCCCTAAATAGATACAACTATACTGTATGGTGAACTTCCGTAAGGCACTGAGTGAACACTGAACATACTGAATACTGGCTGGTCACATCAACATCAAGGTCACAGGCAAAGAGTAAAGAAACAGTTTGGATGATTCAAATTTGAATGGTTTGGATGAGGCACAGCTCAAGAGGGAAAAGGCCTAAACTTGAATCTTTTAACCTTTAAATTAAACTAATCCCAAAGATAAATGACTAGGTCGGGTATAGCACATCCTGTTTGCCACTTGGACACTGGCTGTAGATCTTTTGGGTCTTATAAGCACTTGAGCACATTGATGCCTAATCACACTGGGATCTGAGCAGGCCAGAGAAACCTTTTTGGCTCTTTGTCATGTTTATGGCTTCTCTCACTAATATTATGGGCTTTTTCCCTTTTCAATGCAGTTAGGTTCACAAGTTTTCAGACAATTTTGCCTCTATACATCACAAATTAAGGAGATGAATGATCAGGTTCATTCAAAGTGTTGTCTCACATTTGGTAGCTCTTCACTGTAACTCTCAATACGAGTCCCTAAATATATGTTGATGTAAGTGAAGTAGGTCATTATTATGATAAAAATAAACCTAAAAAAATCTGGGTCATTCTTAAAATTAATGAATGCGCTGTTCACTAAAGTAGATGTTTGCTGAACTTTTTTCTCAGGTAGGAAAACCCATCTCACAACACATAGACAAGTATTGTCAAAGGTCTACAATCAGGAGACACCTTCATCAGTGGACATACAGAGGGTTTACAACAAGGAGCAAACTACTGGTTACACAAAGCTGAGCATGAGAAAGACCCACAAACAAGCAGCATCCAAAGGTGGCTGCATTAAAAGCCTGGCAGACCAACCCAAGGGAGCACATGCAGCATCCACAACTTTTTGTATTGATCTGCTAAAAACAATCGTTATATTTAAAATGATTCATTTGTCAAATTACTTTTGAGTATTTCAAAATGCACAGTAAGGATCAGTTAATTCCATTTGAATGTCACGGCTCACGTGGTTGCACTCACCTGTTACTTAATTTGATAAATCACCTTTCTTTCCCATTCTGATGCTCAGTTTGACTTTCACCAGCCGAGCATCAATGCAATGTGTTGGCACCATGTGATTGACTGATCAGACACTTGTATTGACAAGCAGTCAAACATGCGTGCCTAGAAAAGTGGCCAGTAAGTTTATATCATTCATACAGTAGACATGCAGCACATTGTATGCAGATGCAGACATGACATGAATATGTAAGTGAAGTGAAGTTTCCTGTTAGGCCTGTATTTCAAAGTATGAAGCATCGCTTACAGTTAAATGCCTAAAGCTCTCAGAGTACAAAACTACAACACTGCTTCTTTTGTAATGCTGTTTCAAAACCTCCTCCATCAAATAAAAGCAGCAGAGTAATGCTCAGAAAAATCTATAATGATGCTATAGTTGCAAAGAACAACACCACAAATTAAGCTCTAAAATGTGGTTGTAGAGCACATTTTTATCCAGTGTTAAAAAGAAATCGAGAGATTTCTGTAACCTGAAATCAGCAAATAAAATGGTTTTATAAGTAGCCCCGGCCCTTTTAAATGCTTTCTATTTTCCCTCTCAAGCTGTGCACAGGTGGCAGTTCATCTGCATTTTTTTTCATGAGTCACCAGCGCCACGAAATGATTACAAATTTCTGTCATTATTCAACAAGCAAACTACTTTAATGGGATTTGGAGCACGTTGTAGCTTAGAGGGTGTTGTGCTGTAGTTAAAAGTTTCCTTCTGACAGAAGGAAAGAAGAAGAATGATGTCGAGAAAAGAAGAAGAGCTAACAGCTTCTCATGAGTCATTTTCTGCAAAACACTAAAGTACATTCTAGGAGCTTTGTTCATACAGGAAGAGTCATTGCATCTTATCTCTAAGTGGCAGTTCAGTGTGTGAACCATTTCAACACCCACTGTAGGCCACTAATACCACATATAGGGGAAGTTGGAGATTAAAAAAAACAGCACCTCCCTTTGGTGTTTAGAGTTGTTCAATTTCCTATTGCAAAAATAACAGAAAATTAGGTTACCTTCATTTATTTTGTGAAATATTTAGTGATCTACCAAAAATCAGCATTGGTGTAGAGTACTATACCAATACTACTACAACTGGTAGAATTTGGATTTCTTGTATATATTAAAATGTATTGAGTTGTCACATGGTTATCAAATGATTATCAAATTTGAAACAAAATGTTAAATGCTGCGCTCGGGCAGCAGGATCTCACATCTCCGGAAATGTGCTCTTTTGAAATGTTTTATTTTTAATCGAACATTTAAAAAGGAGACATTTAATCGAGGAGACAGGTGCCTCCTGCACTCTGCACACACATTCAAAGGTTGAAACTGCAAATTGGTGTTTATTTGCTTGCCTGAATGCTCCATGTTGAAATTGTGACACGTGGCATTTGAGTCTTTTTTATTTTAAGCAGTAAAAATCAACTCTTGGAAACATTTCAGTGAGTGAAAAATTAAATAATAACCTCCAGAATCTTCTGGTTTAAAACACAGTTCTTTAATTATTTAAACATATTGTGCAGATATGTAAACAGACTCATGTGATCTTTATAATAATCCAGTAATCAAATGTTTCACTAAAATTTGTGTGAACAAAATGAATCCTTTTCGAACTGTTGCCATGTCACCCTTGGTGCAGAATGGTGACGTGGCTCAAACTCACAGTTTGTAAGCCACCTTGTGGACACACTTGAGATTTACTTTTTGTTTGGTTACTTTGTACTTTTTTTATATTTAATGAACTGCATTCGGTTTAAAGATACACTAAACATTTAAAAGGAAAAATGACAACACAAGAAGACAAAAAGCTTTATTCTAAATTTCATTTATTGGTGAAAGGAAGACTTTAAGCAGCAAGATCTCATGAACAAACTGGGCAAGGCACTGTCTGTCAATGGTTTTATAAGTCAACATTATTTTCCTTTTTGAGACAAGACAAGCATCTTTTAATGAGTTATCACCTATGACGACTAAATTTCAAATTAGGCTGCTAACACACAAACTTTGGGGTAAAACACAAACTGCAAGGATCACAAAAGTTACTATTCAAGGCATGTAAAGGAATCTGTAGCAGCAATCCTTTGATCTGTTTTCATGGCACATAAAACAAGTAAAACTACACTGCTGATCAAAATGTGTCTTTTTTTCTTTCACTAAAAGACATCAAAATAAAATAATCAGAAATATTTATCACTAAAATAAATTTGGGCTTAATTTGAAATGTGAAAAAGAAATCAAATACTAATTTCTAAAAAAAAAAAAAAAGGTTCAATGGTTTAACGCACCCTTAAAAGAATGTCCTGTACCATCTGGTTCTTCCACTTACAAAACGCTGTCTTTAAAAAATGCTGTTCCTTTGAAAGCAGGTATTGTTGACAAGTACTCCTAGTTTTCTACATTACAAAAATATCCTAAGGTGTGTCTCTCTTAGACCTTACATAATTGTATCACATTTGAAAAATCCCAAATACAAAAACACACAAATGTCATTAAATACATACAGTATATAAAAATGCATGCTTCGGAGAATGTGCCCATGTGGGACAGTATAATTTGACTCACTTGTAAAAAGGTAAACTGATTTTTCCAGTGCATGTCTGACGAAATTGTTTTATTTTACGCATTGCTTGTTTTAAGATTAAACTACAGCTTTCACCTTTACAGATGACTATGTGTTTAACAATAGAAGCCAACTTCACAAGTTACAATTACCATTGCTGTACTGGGTAAAACAATAATCACTATAATAACCAAAAAACATCCTCAGTGATAAGTAAAAGAGCAAAGACTTGATGATGATGGTTAAAAAAAATATTTTAATGGTTAAATGCAGCTGATAATTTCTACAAATTTCAATCAGATTTAATTTGCAGGTCAAATTTCAGCCTTGCTTCTTTCTTCAGCGTATGTAGGTCAGCATATGTAGATGTGCATATCAGTGCTACCTTCTCTTTTGATGTCTGAGCATGAGGAAAAAACAAGTTGCAGCGTATACGTTAAACTAAATTTGGATTCTTCAAACAACTGGATTGTTACAACATATGAGATTTGCAAATGACATACCAAGTTTATTCCGTCTCTGGGCACAGTTAGACATTTGTTTGCTTAAGCTTCAACAGCAAGTTCTACACTTTCAGCCACACAGCTGAAAGTGTAGAACTGAAAATGGAAAAAAAAAAAAGACAAAAATCCTTAGATCCTTCATATCACATTGCCAGTAGGCTGTAAATACTGTGACTTTTAACTGCTGGATGATTCTGAGTGCAGTAAAATTAGTAAATAAACTGTGAATTTTCAAAATAATAATAATAATAGAAAATATTAATAATACTGCTGCTGTTTTTTGTTCCATACAAACAATTTATTTATATTATTTGCATTTGCTCGTATAGATTGCAGTGCAATTAATTTTAAACTGCAGAAAAGCATTATTTCTAAAAAAAAAAAAAGTAAAATATCCAGCTTGCTGTAAAGAATCAAGTGCAAATGGCTTATGGCACAATTTGGATTTGTGAATGGCACAAAATTAAATGGATTTCTACAGCTTTTATTTAGAAATGATGATATAAAAATGTGAAAGAGATAAAACAAACTAAAAGTTGCTTGCTCAATGTGTCATGAAATGAGGCGTGAGCCCGTTACTAATATGCTACACATACCCCTAGTGAGGAATGTACTAATAAAATACAGTATGTCCCTTTTCAACCAGTGACTTGTCTAAAATTCAAAGTAAGAAATGGTAACAAACAGAACCTTCCAGATCCACATTTGTACAACATGCTGTGCTTTTGCAGCAACGTCATTTGGTGGATCTGACTTTATTTGGGTACAGAGAAAACAGCTAAAGTGAGGCAGGACTGCAGTCCAGGCAGAAAGGCCCAGCTCTGTGGGCTTTTGCGTTGGTGAATGCAGACATCACATGCATTCAAACTCATCGATACGCTGTTTGGTGTTTCCTGACCGGATCTGCCTGAGGGTCTTGTACTTGTCACGTCCTGCTCGCATGTTGTCTGCATGAATGATGTCATTTGCCGTTTTCTTGCTCTCATCCCGGGCGTTGGCCAGCTCTGAGCTTAAAGCCTGGAAAGAAGGTTACAAGTATTATAAAATTACAGTTAACATGTGCGACTCGTTGTGTAATGTCATGGTGTTTTACCCATGTTCTTGCATCAACCAGTAAGTCGCTTAATTGGCTCAAAATTGACATTCTACTCACTTATTTCTGCTTTTTAAAACCTGTTTTTCAAAGGGATTCAGACTTAAATGAGGGGATTACTCTTACCTGGATCAACCTCATTATTCTACTTTAAAACAAGAATCCCTAGCTGACTGTGTGTTCTTACGAGATGTAATCATAATGTTCCTTCACTTTGCCAATAAAATATCAAAAAGAATTATATTTGATTTATATCCTCCCATTTCCTTCTGCAGGCCACCTCTGTCAGCATATTTTGATCCCTGTTTTTGCCTTGTGGCACCATCAGACAGTGCAACCATGAGTGCATTTCTCTAAAGTTGCTCCCACAGACATCTCAGATTGTTATGGTAGAAATCAGCATCTGTCAGACCCTGAGTGACCAAATTCCCAGTGCTCAACCCCATCAAAGTTAAAAATAATGAGAAGCATGCTACTAGTTTCCCTCCTGCTCTGATACCTTCAGGCTCCGACACTGTGGACTTCCTTCCTTGCTCCTTTTTTCTGGGTTCTACAGAAGTTGATGTTTATTCTCAAGTTCACAGGTTTACAACTCCACGATAAAATGCAGAACCACTGTGGTCAGAAGCGGACTTTGACTGAACATTCAAAAACAGCAGACCACCCAGGGAAGACTGCTGTGCATCACAAACTGGTTTGAATCTATTTGAATCGGGTATGAATCACGATTTTTAAGGGTAAAAATGTATGAAATCTTTACATCTGACTGTAATAATGAAGCTGTATGACACATACACGTATCTACATACAGTCATCTGACTGCTTTAGTAGCATGACTTAATTATGCGCATTCTTTATTTTTAGTTGACTAAAGCTACTTAAAATTGTGTCAACAGTAGTCAAAGAAACAACCAAAAAAATACTTAGATACTAATCAATACTAGAAAATACTGGATTAAATACTCATTTGCAACAGTATCAGTACCAAAAGTGTTGGCTTCGCCTTCTCAATCTGACACACAACTTCACACAGCACTGCTTTCCCTTTAATGCTTCACAAATACAGACAAGCAGGCACGCAGCCCCTCCCCACACTAGCAGCTGAAGTATTTGGCATTCACAACACCGAACAGCACTTTGGGAGGAAGTTCAAGAGGCCAGTAAAGCTCCCATTTCAACAAAACTGAAGCATTAAACAGTGTAAAAGCTAACTTGGCTTCCAAATGTTCTACATTAACAGGAAAATATAATAATTTGTGTGTCATGTTTCTCTTACAGTCCCAGAGTGAAACGTGACAAAAAACAGTGGCAGCCTACCAACTTTATTTGAACAACGTTTACTTTGTCACTTTATTATTTGTATTGTTTTAATGTTTATTAAAAAAATTCCAAGGACTTACAAGTAGATGTTTCTGTAAGCGTTCGTTCTTCTCGGCTTCAGTCATTCTCTCCTCCTCGCTGCGGTCCTTGTACGTGGCAGCACCTGTTAACTCGGCGCTGGCTTCGGCGCTGCTCTCATCATTCTCATCATGCTCGTTCTCTGCGTTTAGGGGCTCCTGAGGTACCATCACTTTGTTTTTAAGCTCTTCTTTGGTCTTTTCCAGGTCCTCCTGCACTGTCGTAGCCTGAGCAAATATAGAAATAAAAGTTAGGTGTTTTAGAAATTACCCTTATTTAATGTCTAATGAAAATGACAAAAGTGGGGGGAGCTTAACTGATATTTCTGTATTGCCATTTTTCCTACAGCATGCAGTAGAGGAGAAATGCATAGCCAGGCTCTTGGTTTCCTGTTTTGGTTTCTCTCCACCCAAGCTATATATCTTGGATATTTTTATTAGGAAATCCCTTCAGGAAATTCAATATAAAACCGAGTGCTTCTTACCCGAGGCGCTATGAGTCAAAAACCAGCTATGAGTCAAAAACCAGCTATGAGTAAGACTGGAATTTTAACTACTATTTTTTCCAAAAATTCACACAATACTGAAACCACCAGTTTGCACAACTGGTTTTTACAAGGCAGAAAATCACAATGGTTTAAAAAGGGTGAACAGGATTTCCCTCACACAAAGACATCCATCATCACTACAAACACCATGAGTCACATGGGCTAAAAAAAAGAAAAAGAAAAAAAAAGAAAGGGCTGGCACGCAGGATTTTTTTTTACCAAAAAAGACAAGAGGCAGGCTGGGAGAGTTTAACCCTCCCCCAAACCCACACAACAAAAAGACCCCAGGAATGCCTGTCCTGACTATGTCACAGAGGAGGGGCAATGTGACCAGCACAACTCTGATTAACTTCTTCCTGCCATAGTTACACTGACTTCGATTATCAATGAACAAAAAGGCTTTTAAGTCTAACAGTTGAATCTTTTCTTCTTCCTTTCACTTTTTGTCCATCCATTTTTTTTGCTTTTCCAATTACATTTCCAAAATTACTAAAATAATATTTTTCTCTCTTCATAGTGTCCTAGTTACAGAACCACAAAAGATCAGTTCTCACCACAAGATGGCAGTAAAGCACAAGTTTCCTTTTTTTCTTTGTTTTTTTTGTTTTAACTAGAAAACCAGGAAGAACAAACTGAGTTCTGCAACTGCATATGCAAATATCTGTTAACGTGTTTTCTATATAGACAGCATTTCCACTATTGGCATATTGCCATATTTTTATGTTATCAGTTTTGAATAGCAAACTAAGGAAAAGTCAAGCCACACCTTCTGCTGCCACTCTAATGCTTCTTCTTCCTTTTTCTTCTTGGCATCCTCCAGCAGGGAAATCTTGGAAGTCAGGTCAGCCAGCTCTGTGGCCTAAAAGAACATCATATTTGAAGCATCAGTACACACATTATTGCAGTTTTTTAAGTGTCAGTGTCTAATCACACTGGCTAACACACTAACCAGGTGCTCCTGGTTCTTCATCTGGTTCTCTGACTGCTGCAGCAGCGCCATCTTGGCATCCTCAGCACTCTTAAGATCACTCTCCAGGCGTTCAGCCTCCTCCTGAGCACGCTTCCTTTCCTGCTCCAACTCCAGAGCCCTCTGCGTTTGCTCCTCCAGCTCTGTGGACACACACACACAAGAATTAAGGGTAAGCATCATGTGAGGAAAACATTGTCATCATTCATTACAGGCAGCTTTTCTTGAACTCTCACAGCTTCCCCACCTTGCTGAGCTTTTCTCGTCTGCTCCTCAATCCGCTTTAACCTCTCCATCAATTCCTCCTTCTCCTTTTCGATCTTTTCCTTTTCCTTCTCTGCAAGTTCTCTTTTCTTCTTTTCATTTTCCAGCACAGCTCTAATGAAAACGAAATCGTTACAGGATGATTGTACAGAAATGTTTCAAAAGCAGAGCAGATAATCACCCCATTTTATTTAGTATTTGAAAATAAAGCTAGTAATCTTTCTATAACTGTTACAATATCCTATAACAGACTGCATTTATTATTGCATCTTTGGAACAGAACTCACACAATCCATGTGTAAAATATTTGTAGGTTTTTTTGTTTGGTTCCATTTCGGTCCTACCTCTCCATCTTCTTGAGATTCTTTTCCTCCCGAGCCTGCGCCTTCATCTGTTGCACTTCAATAGTGTCGGGCTTGCGGCGGCGCATGTAGAGCTCATGGTTACCCATGCACAGAGCCAGAATACGCTTGTTGATGCGCAGCCTTGGAGCATAGAATACAAAGTCCTGCAATGGAAACATTTGAAACATTTAAAATGTCTTATTGTTACATGTTAATATTAATATTATTCTTAAATATAAATAACATAACATTATGTTAACATACAGGTGCTTTCTTGTCAATTGGTTTGATAACAAACTTCTTGTCATTGAAGGAAATGTTTCTTATTTCACTCCATGGAAATCCAATTTTGGGCGTCATTCTGTAAGACAACAAAAATGCTTGGTCAGCACTGCACAGTGTACCTTTTGCGAAACACAAACCCTTCTGTGGAAACACTTACTTATCATTTTGTTCATAAATGTTGAGACCCAAAGCATCCACTCCCAACCACAGCTCTGTTCCCTTCTTATTTTTGATGTTGAAGTAATTGACTCCGTACATCTCGAGGTCCTGAGCAATTTTCAGATACTCCATCATGGATTCCTCTCTGTGGACAAATAAGACGTCTTTAACTTTTGCTAAAAGAAGAATTCACAGTCAGAGCGTGGCGTGCTGTTTGCACTGTTCTAACCGGCTGCAGAGGCCAAAGCTCAAATGCAGAGCTTTCAGGATGTGTGGTTGAGCGGGTTATACCTCTTTTTTAACCTTACCTGAACTATGAAACTTAACTGATCAACAGAGCAACTGGGGAAACATAATGAATCTAGGCTGTGTTTACTGTTTATCTACGACAAGCTAACCTGACTGATGAAACACATATGGAAGCCAATAAAGGACATTCACTACTGTCTTCAATAAAGCATATACTAAAAATGTCAGTGGCACAAACAGTACTCAGATCAACAAACTGCAGTTACTCAAGGCCAGTAACAAACTTTCAGAGCACCTGTGAGTCAACACAAAGGTCGTGGTAACACACTCTCAGTTAGCTCTATCTCAAATTCACGGAAATGACAGAAGAGGGAAGAAACTGTAGCAACAGAGAACAACAAGGTAATTCAACTAGGAATAACTTCCTCAACAGTCTTATGTTTTAGTAGGTTATGAAGTGTGTATATAAGCTGTGGCTACCCTAATGTAGTCACTGAAGACTACATTGTAGTCAAGTGGCAGAAAAAATAAGTGTGCACAATGATAATGGAAAGTTTAAGCTACACATTTTCACATCAAATATGGATATTTGTGAAATTATTGCATCTCTATGCAATAATTTCACAAATATCCATATTTTAGGCAACCGTCCTCTCTTTCACGTGTTTGTGTGTGTGCTGGGGAACACGTGTGTCGCTGATCACCTCATCATGCCCTTGTGCTCTTCATGCCACACTTGAATCCTCTCTTCCCACTGTTCCTTGTTGAGCTTGTGCTGATCCAGGACTCTGAGAACATGAGAGGCCCAAGTGTTAAAGAAACATGTCAGGAATGTTTCACGTGAACCTGCATATTGAAGTGGCAATAAAGCCCGCGTTACCTTTGCGGAAGCAGGTGTTCACTGCTCAAATAGCCTGGTTTGTGGACTTCCTTATTGTAGTCGGCATACTTGGCCTGCACCGCGTAGGAGGCCAGAAGGACCGCCGTCTCTGGAGGGCAGTAGATGTCATCATTTAAGATTCCCTCCTTTACCTGCAGGAAGAATAGCCGCTGTGTGGCATCCTGGATTAACTCCTCTGAGACATCCTCGGGGAAGAACTTGGCACGGAACTTAAACAGCAGCGGGCTTTCCTTCCTCACATCCTGGGCTGTTACCTAAAATATGATCCGACACGGGTGAGAGGGTAGAGGTTATGCTTCTGTTTGTGGACTCGAGATCAAAAAGCGCAGTTCACGCTTGAAAAAAGACGGCCCAGTGAATGAAGTGTACTGAGTACTGAGGAGCTCACCTTCTTATTGAGCTTCAGCCAAGTAGAGAAACCCTTTGTGTCCTGGTACTGGAGTCCAAAGTACCAAACCTCTCGTAGGCCGATGGTTTTCACAACCTTTAAATAAAAACAGCAACAAAAATAAAAATATGAAATATAATTCCCTTGTTTTATTCTGTTATTTAAGGGGTTTCAGCCACAAAGATTTACTGCTTTCCTAATTTCAAATGTATTGTTTTTAGATTTTAATCAGTCATATAAAAACAAAACAAAAATCAAACAGCAGCCTTTAAGAATCTGTCATTGGATTTTTCACATTTAAAATTATTTTAGAAGACTCAAAGATCATCAGCCAAAAATAAAAAAAATTAATAGCCATGAAAATAATATATAATAATAATAATATATAATAATCTCCCGGCATTTTCCAGAAATAGGAGTACTAAACCCCACCACAGTACTTGTCAAAGAGTCATCATTTATGTTTAATGGTAACTTAAGTGCTGGCTAGAGGAAACAGTTTCTCATACCTGGTCAAAGAGTTGCTTTCCTGTTGTATTGGGCTGAATGGCGAACTCCAGTTCGGCATCCATAGTGGTAACTCTTACACTAATCTGAGGAACAGAGGAAAGGAAAAAAAACTTTTTCAAATATGCAAATAAAAAAAGACAGTATTTTGAGTATCATTGTACTATCATTGTATCATTGAAATGATTGTACCATATCATTTCTTGGTAAATAGAGAATAGACAAAATTAGATATTCTGTTCTTCTCTTAAACATTATGAGACTCTGCATTTAATCATTAGTTATTATTAACCTGTCTCCCTCCCCTCACTCCCAACAGGTCGTGGCAGACAGCTGCCCCTCCCTGAGCCTGGATCTGCTGGAGCCTTCTTCCTGTTAAAAGCGAGTTTTTCCTTCCCACTGTCAAAAGGTACTCGCTCATTTGATTTAGAAACCCCTCTGTGTTAATATACGGTCTTTACCGAACAATAAAAAGCAAACTCTATGCAATATATAAGCTCTCGTGCATTAAAAACTGTGTCATTCTATGCAAACCATTTAATGGCGACCATCTTTAACAAGTGTAGCATCTCAAAATGTGTGGCACTCTTGTAGAATTCATTAAATGTGCCTGCAATAAAAGTGTGCACACATCTCCCAGTCCTGCTGGAGAACAAAGTAACACTGCAGTCCAATTACCTTTTTACTATTTTATTCTGAAATTTAGAAAAGACTGCATCTCAGGGTTACGACGAATGTACCAATCTGGCTCTGTCTCAGTCAAGAACTTATCTACAGGAAGTAACCACATCCTTTGGTGGTCGGGCCCTGTGAGGCATGACTGTTAAACACTGAGCTCTCATGAGAGATGTGCACATCCTGTCATGCATCAGACAACCTGTCTGGTGTAGCAGGATTTAACAAGATCGGTTTGTAGACAGAACTTTAGCTCGATCTCTTTTTCAGGTATCACACTTTGCTACCCTGGGTTATTCAGTAAACGAGGCACGCCTTAGTTAGACAAATTGTTATATCTGTGTCTTACAAAATCATATGTCTGAAGTTGAACACATTTATTTAACCTTTTCTTTGGAAAAGCTTGCTCAGAAGGTGGCAAGAAAAGAAAAAGAAAAAAGTATGTACTCAGTAGGCTGTGCAGGAATCCCTCATTTATTGTGCCCTCTTAGAGACTAGGGAAAAAAAGAAAAAGAAAAAAGAAACACCAGCATGCATGTCTATTGGGAAATAACTGTGCAGGCAGAGGCCCACGCCTGCCCTGAACAACAATGGTATGTATTATTTCCTAGTTGCGGGGTTGATTAGAGTTGCGTTCTTTCCCATCCATGTCAGCAGGACCCTATTTACTGCTCAGGACACATGCCCCACTGTCACTTCCTGCCATCCCAGGCAGTTAAGAGCTGAGGAGAAACCTTAAATCTGGGCCCACTCTGAATGCCAACACTGCAGTCTAGAATCGTCTAGACACAGGAGTTGTTAAGCTTCCAGTTATGAACTTTAGGCGATACACTTTTTTATATTTGAGCAGATAAGAGTTCAGTTTGTGGCCACCCTGATGGTGTCTAAGCAGTTTCATTTCCTGAATCAAAATAGTTAATCTTGCAAGAAAAGGGAACTACGCTTATACATTTTCTGCCTAGTTAGGGTGTGTCTCTCATGGCCAGGGCTCAAAAACACTTAACACACTATTATTAGCACATGCTGAAAAACACCCTGTTCTGGCCCACGTGCCATGTTTCCATGACTTTCTCTTAGCTCTTTTTTTAATCGCACCAAAGCGATACTGCAAAAATAAAATCCCAAACTCGTACATTTCACATTGAGAAACACATCTGTGACCGATTTTGTCACACGGGTGTATTTGATGACTACTGACTTGTTTAAAGCTTTACTGTATGTCATGTGAAGCTGCTTATAACAATCTGCCACTTCACTGACTGTCTGAAACGTATGAGCTAATCTGTGTTATTTTATTTATATTTGTTTTAATGTAATACCACAGCTGAATGCTACAAAAATAATACTTTTCCAGACTCAAATCAAAGGTCTAATGCCTTGACTTACCAACAACTGTTCAAGCCATGCTGGACTCACAACACAATATTAGTTATTTAACAAAGAATTATCAGATACACATATGCTAAGGGTGACAATGCCAACATTGTGATGTTTAGTGGGTCTAACATTCACTTTTGTGACCAAATAATGAGTTTGATTGAGGCTGAATATAATTTAGTTATCAGAAATGTCACGGTAATCCTAAAAGTCTGCAATTTTTTCACTAATTTCATCTTAATGGCATGTTTGTTCAAACTGTACCAAGCTAACTGTAATGCTGAAAACGCACGTAGCAGGTGAGAGCTGTTGGGCTTACTGAATACAGAAAGCTGCACTAACCACAAAGAATGAAAAAAAAAAAAAAAGGACGCAACTATCGTAAGTAAAAAGTGTGCACGTGTCTTACAATTGTACAGCCACTGAATGGCAATGGGGTGATGAGCAGTTAACCTGAAAGTTAACTGGGGCCAAACATCTGGGTTGCCTTGTCAGTAAGAGGAAGCAAAACTGATGAAAACTAAATTAAACGTGGTGTTAAATATTGAGTGAAGACACAGTGATGCAAGCAGTCTGTCACTAATTTTTCTAGGTTCATCAAGCTTCCTTAGCAAAATCTTTTTTTAAATCCCCTCTGTATATTCAATTTCGATTTAACAAACATGTTACTAAATCAGCAGAAACAGAGGTCACCGGAGAGCATTTGCTGCAATTAGGGCTGCCACGATTAGTCAACTAGTCACGATTACGTCGACGGCTAATTTAATAGTCGACGCCTCGTTTGAAGCTTTGTAAGATCGCAAAAGACGCAGGAATAAGTAGTAGGATTTAAGAGTGTAATAACGGACTGAAACAGAAGATGGCAGCACTGCATGTACAAGGATGCCAGCTGCAGTTAAACCCCGAAGAAGAAGAAGAAGTTATGTCCCAGAATTCATAGCGCGGCCCTGCTCAGTTTCCAACAATGGCGGCAGATAGTTAGTTTTAATATTACTCTTTCTAGGTCACAAAATAAACGTTTAACATGTTTTCGGGCGAGAATGTAACTGTGTAAACGTCAAATATCTGCTCAGTTTATCAAGACACCACATATTTTGAAAAGCGCTCCGACGTTTTCGGAGACGTCTGTTACCCACTAGCTCGATAGCTAGCCGGGGGCAAGGCTCACTAGAGCCGGTGAGAACACCGGACTCCCGGCAAATCGTTTTCAAACCCACCGCCGTCTTTCACTACTCAGGTTAAACATGATATATAAGTCACTTAGATAACTTAAAAATGTTATTGTTTGGCTTTTTTTTTTTTTTTATGTTCCTGATAAATACGGAGCCCCGCAGGGGACATGGGAGAAAAAAAAAATTAGGGAGAAAAAAAAAATTAAGACGGACTTTTGCGAGATCTCGCAAAACTAACTCGGATCTCGCAAAACTTTCTCGCGAAAGTTGAATTCCAACAATGGCGGCAGCTACTTAGTTGTAATATTACTCTTTCTGGGTCACAAAATACACTTTTAAGATATTTTGAGGCGTGAATGTAGTTGTGTAAACGTCAGATACCTGCTCGGTTTACAAGACATCACATATTTGCAAAAGAGCTCCGACGTTTTTGGAGATCTGACACCCACTAGCTCGAAGCTAACGGGAGGTCGAGACCTACTACAGCCGGGAGGAACACCGCTTTCCCGGCACATCGTGCCTCGACCTCCCGGTCGGCTTCGAGCTGGCGGCCACTAGCTCGAAGCTAACGGGAGGTCGAGACCTACTACAGCCGGGAGGAACACCGCTTTCCCGGCACATCGTGCCTCGACCTCCCGGTCGGCTTCGAGCTGGCGGCCACTAGCTCGAAGCTAACGGGAAGTCGAGACCTACTACAGCCGGGAGGAACACCGCTTTCCCGGCACATCGTGCCTCGACCTCCCGGTCGGCTTCGAGCTGGCGGCCTCCGAAGAATGCGGCTAAAGCTTTTGCGAGATCTCGCAATACTTTTGCGAGATCCCGAGTTTGTTTTGCGAGATCTCGCAAAAGTCAGTCTTAATTTTTTTTTTCTCCCTAATTTTTTTTGTTTCTCCCTAATTTTTTTCCCCCTCCCATGTCCCCTGCGGGGCTCCGTATATTATTGATTATCAGAAGTGTGAGATTCTCCAGAATATACTCCGGTGTTCTGTTATATTTTAGATAGCAAGGAGCAGATGGCTGAGTTTATTAAACTTCACCGAAACAATCTGCAGATTTCATTCAAATTTAATAAATTATCATCTTGCCTTTATTTTTAGTTAGCACATACCTTAAACCAGTGGTTCTTAACCTTGTTGGAGGTACCGAACCCCACCAGCTTCATATGCGCATTCACTGAACCCCTCTTTAGTGAAAAATAAAATGTGATTTTTTTTTACTGGTGCACAAAATGAGCCATGCATGTCATGGCGGAGGCTCTGCCGAACCCCTGAGACCGACTCACCGAACCCCTAGGGTTCGATCGAACCCAGGTTAAGAACCACTGCCTTAAACACTTAAAGCTGTAAGCTAATGATAGTTATTTAAGAGCAGATGCATGCTGGTGCAATAAACTGTACATTTTACGTCCAATGGATGCATGATCTGATTTGTCGACTAATCGCAAAAATAATCTGTGACTAGTCGACTATCAAAATAATCGTTTGCGGCAGCCCTTTTTGCAATGACTGCAATTACTTATTTTAAAGAAAAAAAAAACTAAGTGCCAGCTAGTTTAACCCTGTAAGGTTTCAAGTCACAAGAGAGCTTCAGTAAATTTAATCTTTAGATACAGCCCCACTGACATGCCAGAATTCAACTTCTGCCTTACATTCCCACACAAGAGTTATCTCCATGTGTTGCTCACAACTACAATCTGTCCAATACAAGCTGAGACGATAAAGAAGATAATCCTAAGTGGTTCCTGGAACAAGTAGGAATGAGCTAGGCTCTGGACTAACAGTTCTTTGACGTGAAAGAGCAGAGGGGTTTTTAAAGAAGGTCACTATCAGAGTGTACGATAAGCCTGGCTTATTTTACAACTGATTTATAACAATGAGAAACATGCATCAGAACATGCCATTCTTTCAGTGTTTACCCCAATAACCATAGCAACTGCACATTGATAATTCTGAGTCATACATCTGAGTCATGCCATGCATGAGAGTCACACAATGTCAGCATCTAAAGTCAACAACTGCTTAACAAAGCATCCTCTTGGTTGCCAGAGAAACGCTACTGCTGGCTCCACCGCAACCCGATTTACAGTTTGGTGTATCTGACAGATAAACTGAGGATGTCAGGGGCAACCAGAGTGCAATTCAGATTCCAATCCATTCAGGTGAAATGCATTTTTTCCTTCTTTACTCAAGCATGAGAGACATTTTAGTTTTACCAAATGGCTATAAATGCTCTCACTTCCATCAGATATGCTAACATGAATTGATCAATCACTCATTCTGAACCAACAAAAGCTTTGAATCTGGTTCTATTACAACGAACACGGAACATTAACAGTTCAGGTTGTTTAAAGCGACATTTGAAATGGTAAAATGTGCGAAAATGTCATGACTTCCACTTCCTGTGCGATTCACAATTAACATCTCGTTATGTTATCGCTCAAAGCGTGGAAAATAAAATAAAAAACTTGTGGGCAAGATGATAAGCATATGACTCTCTGACTAGAGTTTGCAGTTAGTTAACAGGAAAATGGAAATAATTTAGCTCCATTATAAGTTTAAAATTGAATCCTCATTACAACCTTAAGGGTATCTTCATTGTTAATGTCACCAAGTCTTCTTTTCTGGTTATTTTGGGTTTACTGTGTGCTTACGGGTATTAGCATTAAACGAAAGAAATTCAAACTCTGTCACAGGAAGAGGAGGGTCGAAAAAAAAGGATCGTGTTTCTTCTTTCTAACCAGGGGAGAGTACAAACACGCACACACAAACACACTCAAGTTTGGGTCTTTTAGAGCAGTTTCCCACGACCACTGTTTATTTGATTTTTAAAATGTCAGCGCAAGCAAACTGGAACAGAGTTTTGTTAGTTTTGCTGCTTCGTCATCTGGTGAAACTGCTGAGTGACATCTGTCTGAGCCAATCATGGAATTTACCGTCTGCTCTAAAAAATATCCAAAAATAAGAAATCCCAAGCACCAACTGATTAAAGTATGTTTTATGCATACTTGTCTTCTTTGTCAGGTATTCTCTGGCACATTGTTAGAGCCATGTAGACGTGCAGAGATTAGGCAATAGCATGGAGGTGTTAATATGTGTCAAAGTGCAGTACAAATTTTCCATTCCTGACATCTTTTCAGATGACTAATGTTAAGTCCTGAAAGTTGCCACTGTACAGTAGAACTGCTATGCTACCTGTTCAACTTGTGTGGAATTATGATTTGTCCGTCTTTGTGTAGATCCAAATAAGCTAGGGTGGTTCTAAAATAAACTAAATTATCAGTTGTCAGCTGAGGCAAAGCTAACCAAATAATCAGCATAAGATCAAACTGGTCTATTGAGAACCAATGCTAGCTCATAAGCAACAACAAATACAGTATTAAGGATGTCAAATCAGAACACTACATGACCAGCAACAAAGTACTTACGTTCAGATCTTTGATATTTGCCACAGCTTTCAAAGAGAAACCTTTAAAAAGTGAACTTTTGATTGCAGTTTGTCCACCAGCTCTACCTCTACACTGTTAATCTGCTCTGCTATGTGCACCACAGACCCATATTTAATCTCCTGCTACTTGCATACTTCCAGGTCTTTCCATTTGCCACGTCTCCATAGACACGCTTGTTAAAAATGTGATCATTCCAAGGAGAAAGCTAGATCTGTCATCATTCCTGCAATTCGAGCTAAAATGGTAAGTTATGCTTAATTTTTATGTGGTAACAGCTGCCCATATGTGCATTTCTTGAATCTAAGGAGTTAACATGAAAAAGTGTACCAGCTCTGAAATGGTTCTAGCGTTGAAAAAAACAGGTAGGAAAGTAAGTGAACCAACCGTCATGGGGTTGCATGAGTGGGAAAATCCTTTGCTTTGTAACAACATGGGGTGAAATTCTAGCAATAAAGCTGATAATTGTTTTGTGCTTCTGAAAATACAGCCTATTTAAAAAATAATTTTAAGCTACTGTTACCTTCTTGATAAAGCAGACAAAAAGCTGCAATTCCATGTAACAGCAGCACATAAACAAAATCAGTGTAATAACAGAGCTGCATTAGGAACTAAGAACAACAAAAAAACTGTGGCAACAACAGACATGCAGAAAAATTCTGAAAAAGGGTTTTGCACTGCTGTAGTGCAATCTAAAGTGGGGCATGGTATCTGAAGACCACGCGGAGGAAAGCAGGGAGGAGATCAGCCAGACTGTGATGTGAAAGTCCATATAAGGCTGCAGGCGAGGAAATTACCAGAAAGGAACTGATGTAAGTACAGAAACCTTGAGTCATAACAAGACTTCCTAGGGAAACTGAAGGACTGCCAAAAGGAGTCCTGTAAAGGCTGAGCTTCGCAATAATTATTGCTTTTGAATGACATTAAGCTTTATTAAATGTAACTTGAACACCGGAAAAATAAACTGTCTGAAAAACTAGGTTAAAAAAACAGGTAATTTAAAACGATCTATGAATCCCAGAGGCAGCTTTTGTGGGGACATGACTTTTACTTTTGCTGGATACAGAGTCGCTTGATTTGCTGAATCAGTTTATCTAACTTCCTTTTTTAATGCTCCTCATCTGTTGCATCTTTGCATAGCACCTTTAGCTAACGAGAAAGGAAATGAACCGATGAGTGTCACACATCTGAGTTTGAACCATTGCACCTGTTCACCTTTGTGCTACTGTGCATACAGGGTTTACTCCATCTACACAAATAGAATAGAATATATTTTCTTATAGTTCCAATGATTATACTTTTGGCAGTGGCAGCACAATGCATGCTGTTCAATAATGAATATAAAAAACCCACAATCTGCTGTTTATTTTGAGAAAATGTTGCTGCTTCTTCCTGACCAACAACTGGTTTACTCTTTTCTAACTGACAGCATGACAAAAATGTGTTCTTCTGATTTGACAGTAACTATCATTTAGGTGCTTTTGAGGTGTTTGAGGTTCCCACTGGTGACTGCAAAAGCAGCTACTTTAAACACGGCTCTGGTTTTGCTGAGGTTAACAACATCCCAGCTGCACTCTGCAGACAGACACTGATACATAGCAATGGACTAAAATGCATGGCAAGTGAACAATTCATTATAGGAAACAACTTCAAAGACAAATATCTGTGTCTGTGTGGGACGCAAGCTCTTAGTTGAACTACATTTATTACAAACTGCACTTGGGTTATAATCAGTAGTGTAAGTAAATGTATGTGCAGAAAAAAAACATAAAGAAAAATGTTTGATTTTTTTTTTGCTAATATACAATTGAAATTCAATAGTTATGTAGTGACTCAAGAGAAACATTTTTTCCTCACAATGGGTCTTTGGGAGGTGACTAGATAAATTTTCAAGACTGGTACACTAAATGTAATTTTTGCTTCCCTGACCACCTGATAAATGAAAGTGTTGATTATACCATTTAAGTAAATGCTAGTAACTAGTGATTGGTTGTGCCAAAAATGCCTCCATGCAGAAAAGAAAAAAAAAAAACATGCTGATATTAGACGAATTCCTCTGGGGAAGAAGAGGGTAGTGAAGGCTTTTTAATGCCAGGATGCTTGACATTTTTTTCTGGTTGACAACTTGGAAAAATATCAAGGAAGTACGAGCAGAAACAATACTGCAGGAAGAAAGCAGGTACGAGACTTGGAGGCTTTTTTTCTCTCCTTTGTAACATTGAATGTTTCCGGCCTGAATATAATATATGACTAGTAAAAGGTGATAAATTTGGTATCATACTCAGGTAGTAGCTATAAAACTAATCCAGTATTATATTAACCAATCTGTAAGATAATAGTTTATTATTTATAAAAATCTGACACACACAATCTGGGGATAAACATGATAGCACTACGATGAATTACAGCATCTGCACTGTGAAATGTGAATCACTCTGTAGGCTATATAATGCCGATCACCTTCTCATTGGTCATGTGTGAATCTTTTAGTAGCATCATGTCCCTTTTACATTCAGAATGTGCACGTGGGTATCTCAGGACAATGTGCAGATAAGAAGAATGACTGCACACAGATTCAGCAGCTTCTTTGTTATCTTCTTCATTCAGAAAGCATTTCACTGAATCAAAGCCCCACACACCTTCACCCAGCCGAGCAGAACCGATGAGTTTGAAACCGCATTCAATTCTTTTGTCCACTGATAAAGGCATCCACGGAAATATTGGGCTGTGCCTTTTATAATGGTGTAGGTCTGGACCCCCTTATTTTCTTTGTTCAGAGCTCCACCAGTACCAGCACAAATCTGTGAGTGCTCCTTCATTTCAAGAGCAGTTATTTTTGCCTTTATTTAATAACCTCCGCAATGTAGCATTAAAAAAAGCTCTCTGTGTCTTCTCTTTTGCCTCCTATCCGTTTGCAGATTTGCCTCCATTTGCTCCTGTTTTGACCATAACAGCTGGCCTGGCTGACAGTTCAAATCCTTAAGAGCTGACTGAGAGGGAGGCCTGAGAAGGACTAGCTCGCTGCTAGTCCAGGATACACCTCCGCAGAAAAACAGTATAAAAAGTGTAATTTAAGCCTAAATATACAACTCTAGAGCATTTTAATAGCACGCGGCTTCCACCCTGAATGAATGATTTGATTTAAGGCGCTAATTTTAGTGAACACAGGGTAGGAAGCGCGCACGCGCACACACCTAACGGAAAGTACCACAGTAATCCTCGGGTGAGTTTGAAAGGATGCGAAAGATTTTTAAACACGGTAAAACCCATCGGACATGCACTTTAGTTTATCTTACTGTTGTTAGTGAATAACAACGCGAAACACCCACACCTAATGAAAATCGCGTACTGAAAAAGAGACAGAAAAAGCAAAGTAGCTTCTGACATAAAAACATAAATGTACTTTTCAGCCTTACCGTTTTCGGCATCTTTCTTTTCTTTCACGTCCGGCTCAGGCTTTCTATGAAGTTATTAAATAAAAAGAGCAGTTTGCTAAACCAGGAGAAAACTTTTTCCCATCAGAACAACGGCGCCAACCAAACGCTTTCCCGTCTCGAGGAAACAAAACCTCACTTTTTTCCGTTGGACTGCGAAGAGCTATTTTCGACCCTACGCGAGTGGGGGGTGTTTTTCCTTTGTTTCGCCTTAAAGTAAAATGGACTCGAGCTGGATTTCCTGCTAACGGTACCCTGCAAACCACACCCAACCCGATGACAGGACAGCGGAGTGAAAAAGAGGTTCAGGCCAGCAGCAGACTCCGCCTGCAGTAGTCGCATCATCATGGCTGCGGTTCACTGTCTCAGCACTAGGCAAAAAAGTTTCCCAGCACTCTCACTTTTAGCAGACAGGCCACGTTAAATACCATTCTTTATATGAGTCTTTTATTTAAACGACGACCAGTGTGTTGGGATACTTTGAGAATACAAGAAGGCAAAAAGTACTAGCAAACATGTCAGTATCTAAAACGAGCCTGTTAGAGTGTCCAATATATTCGTCGTCGGCCTCTAGCGCTGTGCTAAAGGCTGGTAACCAATACTTTTAATCTATAAAGGCAGCTTATGAGAGATGCTGTTGACGCAGTCTGCTTTTTATCTTCATGTTTTGTTTGTTTATATTTTTTGCACAGTAGTTGGGTGGCGCACCCATAATTTCGTTGTATATGTTATGACGATAAAGGGCTACTACTCCGCCTATGTAGTGGAGAGCAGTGTGTCAGATGAATCACATTCAATTTGCAAATTCTAAAAACATTTTGATAACCATTAAACCCCTGTGATTTTCCACAATGATTTGTTAATACAAAAACAAAACAGGCATTTCAGCTTTACGTGTATTTTAAATCAGGGTTGAATTTGTTGACATTCAACATAATAAGATTTAGGCATTTTTCACAGTTCATGTTTGAGGTATATTTTTCCATTTCCCCATAAAATTATTTATTTAATAAAATTCAGTAGGCTACATACTGAACGTACAAGACGAAACAAAGCACAAGATAGAAAGGAAGTATATATCCAATCGCACTAGTATCGATTCTTTAGTATAGATACTGTCGATATTTCAATCGATTGTCCCGCTTCTATTGGCTACATTTTAAGCATTTCAAATAATTTCCCAGAAAATCATCATCGTTAATGGCAAAATTGCAGGCTGATATGCTACATCGTTCACAGACTTAACAAATAAAAAGGCTGCTTTTGAATTACTGTTTAATTCAACTGTTGTGGTTGTTTTACTAATGTAGTTTTGTAGAATTGGGTTACTATAGGATAAATAATGCATACGGTGCAGTGCAAAAGTCTTGAACCACCCCCCATTTTTAAAAATATTTTGCTTCCAAGGAGCTAGGCTTTCTTGTAATTTTTAACTTGGTCTCGAGGCATAATTCTCCAGGCTTTCTGATGGTCATTCAAAGCCTTTCTTTGGACATTGGCTCCATTTCCATCCATTTTCAGTGCAGTCCTTGTACCTGACCATTTTCAGAGGAATGATTTTTTTTATTGTCAAGGTACTTAACACCAATCTATAAATTGTTCAAACTCTGTGTTCTCTGGAATTTATCTAGCTCTGTCAGGGGATTAAACTGTAATATTTAGTGACATACTTACAAGTGCAGCGTGCAATATGATGAAATACAAAATCTAAGGCCTCCTCTTTCAGTATGCATCACATAAAGCGCCTAAATCATGAAACTGCACACCGTCTCAGTGCAGTAAACCAACATCGTGAACCTTAAAAGAGGTTTCTACACTGCTTTGTACATGCTCTGGATGAAAGTTCTCAGCCCAGATTGAAAATTTGTGGTCAACAACATCTAGAGGTGGTTGCAGGGTTGCAGGTTTTTTCTCATCCTTCGTCCCCCACCCTCGCCCCCCTCATCTTTGCAAGCCATTAAAGTACAGATTCCCGCTTCAAGATACCTCCTATTTGATTTAAGTCAAGATGTGCTTAACCGTTGTTCGGGCCTATGCTGTAAAAGTAAAAAGTTGCATATGCGTATGGTAGCGATAACAGCATTCAAATTTTACACATGCCATAAAAGGAAAAAGGAAAAATATAAATAACTAGACATCTTTGAAAAAGGCTGGTGTTTGAATATTCTCAGTGAGAGCGCAGCATGGAGATGTCACTGAGTTTGTATGTTGACTCATCTCTGATGATGGTGGATGACCACCCACAGTCTCACTGAATGAGCTGCATGCTGCTTTCAAATCAGAGGCAAGACGGCTCCAAGACCACACGTGTACAGCTGTCACAATCTAGCAGATGAGAGCAGACTGTTTCTTGGACATGTCCACTCTTCTTGTTGAAAAGTGGTTTTTGAACATTAACATTGTGCAAGGAATGCTCTTTTTGTCATAAACGAACCCTATTGAGTTTCCAATGATCTAAAAGTAAAAAAACAGATTATCATATTCTTGGGCATAAAATACACCGTATTTGTTGCAGCATAGAAATGTTGTCAGAATGAATCCATAACTTTTGTCTGTAACTTGTAGTTTCTTTCATAGCTGATATTAATCCCAAGAAGTCTACCTAAATATCCATTTATCATTTCGTGTACACTCAGCACAGTATCCATCAGCAGACCTGACAGCAGTTGGAAAAGGTCTCACAGGAGCAGTGGAGTAAGTGCTTTATTAGAAGTTAGGAGCCAGAGACAGGAGTTCTCAGACAGACAGATTATAGTATTTGACAGTTTTAATTGAAGAGGCCTTTTAGGTTTCTATAATTGTTTCATATAAAATAATAAAAGTCTGCACTTGTGTCAGTGGCGCATGGCTCTAGCTATTGCACCGCTCCACCAGCAGAGAGTGTGCATGTGCCGTGTAACCTGTTGCACATGCACAGCTGCAGTATATAAGCAGAGTGGTTTATAGCATCAGCCTGTGGGATCATTTTACAGAAGTACAAATTGATTTTTTAAAAGATAATCTCAAAGTATATTTAGGCTATAATTACTTTAAAATAAATGGTAAAGGGGAAAAGTAATTTTGACAAATATCTTCCAGTGATGACGTAGGACGGTTTTGCTACTTTCAGAATACATTTTAAATCAACACGTCTTTGCCATAACACATTCAAAACAAATGATGTAACATTACATTCTTCGCCTCAGCTGATGGTTTTGCCTGATTCTAAGTCTATATTAAATGAAATATTATGTATTATAGGTTGCTGAGGAGGTGCAGCAGCTCATCTACTAATCGGAGGTTGATGGTTTAATCCCTATCTAGGGCTATCTAGGTACTGAACCTCAAGTTGCTCTCTGATGCATTCATCTATTTGTGAATGTTAGCTATAGAAAAAGCGTTTGTGTGAAGCATGAGGCATGCTTTATGAAGCCCTTTTGCGTGCTCGAGTAGAAAAGGGCTATATAAGAACCTGTCCATTTATCATATATAAAGCAGTGTCTACAATCAATCCATCCACCTCTATCCAGTATCCCGTCCTTCTAGAGGGTGAGAATGGGTAATATGTCTGTCTCCATGTTGGTTGAGTGTGGAGTAAGTGCATATGAGAACATGAGGGTGGAAATGGATGTTTGTATCTGTGTGTGCCTGTATGCCTGTGTCTACAGTGGGGCAAAAAAGTATTTAGTCAGCCACCGATTGTGCAAGTTCCCCCACTTAAAATGATGACAGAGGTCAGTAATTTGCACCAGAGGTACACTTCAACTGTGAGAGACAGAATGTGAAAAAAAAATCCATGAATCCACATGGTAGGATTTGTAAAGAATTTATTCGTAAATCAGGGTGGAAAATAAGTATTTGGTCACCTCAAACAAGGAAAATCTCTGGCTCTCACAGACCTGTAACGTCTTCTGTAAGAAGCTTTTCTGTCCCCCACTCGTTACCTGTATGAATGGCACCTGTTTGAACTCATCATCTGTATAAAAGACACCTGTCCACAGCCTCAAACAGTCAGACTCCAAACTCCGCCATGGCCAAGACCAAAGAGCTTTCGAAGGACACCAGGAAAAGTATTGTAGACCTGCACCAGACTGGGAAGAGTGAATCTACAATAGGCAAGCAGCTTGGTGTGAAAAAATCAACTGTGGGAGCAATCATCAGAAAATGGAAGACATACAAGACCACTGATAATCTCCCTCGATCTGGGGCTCCACGCAAGATCTCATCCCGTGGGGTCAAAATGATCATGAGAACGGTGAGCAAAGATCCCAGAACCACACGGGGGGACCTGGTGAATGACCTGCAGAGAGCTGGGACCAAAGTAACAAAGGTCACCATCAGTAACACACTACAACGGCAGGGAATCAAATCCCGCAGTGCCAGACGTGTTCCGCTGCTGAAGCCAGTGCATGTCCAGGCCCGTCTGAAGTTTGCCAGAGAGCACATGGATGATACAGCAGAGGATTGGGAGAATGTCATGTGGTCAGATGAAACCAAAGTAGAACTTTTTGGTATAAACTCAACTCGTCGTGTTTGGAGGAAGAAGAATACTGAGTTGCATCCCAAGAACACCATACCTACTGTGAAGCATGGGGGTGGAAACATCATGCTATGGGGCTGTTTTTCTGCCAAGGGGACAGGACGACTGATCCGTGTTAAGGACAGAATGAATGGGGCCATGTATCGTGAGATTTTGAGCCAAAACCTCCTTCCATCAGTGAGAACTTTGAAGATGAAACGAGGCTGGGTCTTCCAACATGACAATGATCCAAAACACACCGCCCGGGCAACAAAGGAGTGGCTCTGTAAGAAGCATTTGAAAGTCCTGGAGTGGCCTAGCCAGTCTCCAGACCTCAACCCCATAGAAAATCTGTGGCGGGAGTTGAAAGTCCGTGTTGCTCGGCGACAGCCCCAAAACATCACTGCTCTCGAGAAGATCTGCATGGAGGAATGGGCCAAAATACCAGCTACTGTGTGTGCAAACCTGGTAAAGACCTATAGTAAACGTTTGACCTCTGTTATTGCCAACAAAGGTTATGTTACAAAGTATTGAGTTGTATTTTTGTTATTGACCAAATACTTATTTTCCACCCTGATTTACGAATAAATTCTTTACAAATCCTACCATGTGGATTCATGGATTTTTTTTTCACATTCTGTCTCTCACAGTTGAAGTGTACCTCTGGTGCAAATTACTGACCTCTGTCATCATTTTAGGTGGGGGAACTTGCACAATCGGTGGCTGACTAAATACTTTTTTGCCCCACTGTATATGTCAGGTTGGGTATCAGACGCCACCTCTCTGGGGAC